TTTATATGTACATAATTATGTAACTTTTATATTACTATTATATATACTAAATACAGCCTATGTGGATTGGATTGTAGCTGGACTATTTATATATGATTATCATTTGGGCATGATGGGTAGAAATGGCAGTCATGTCCAGTTTATTGTGTTATTCTTCTACCAGTTATATGTGGGAATGGTTATTTTAAATTAATTTAAAATAACTGTTTTTGCCTATTTTCATCTAGTTCTTACTGAAAAGTTATTGCTTTTCCTGTTTCCACTAAGTTTAAGTAAGCACTGGGATTGAATTCACAATTACTATGGCACCAAATTCATGAAACAATGTATTAATCCATGAGACTTTTATTCCTTGGGACAATCCTGAGTGTAGAATTTTGGAGCTTTAACCTTTAACTGCTTTCTGATGAAACTGTTGCTGCATACTTTTAGTTTACAAAATATATTTGTTTAGTTTATTTTAGTATTAGTTTGCCATCACCTTGAAAAAACTGTTATTGTTGCAATGTTTTTATTAACATTCTTATGATGAAAATATGAGATGAGATAAATAATGTTTTTGTTCCTTCCCATCTCTATTACACCTTGATAAGCAACTCTCCACCCCCACTTTTTTGTACTCATTGAATGCTTTAAATTTTTAACACTGAGTCCCCTGCATGTTTGTTTTATTATTTTTTTCTTTTTTCTTGCCTGACCATTCCTGATGTGGTATGCAGGCTCGACTGGCTTTCCAATTATGACAGCTGGCTGCTGGATGCTGCCTCATTACACATTTGAGAGTGGCCATCCATCAGGATGTGGTCAGGTTCCCAACTACACATTTTTTTTTGTTTTTTTCTCTCTCTCTCTTTCATTCTTACTTTATTCCCTGTTGCAATAGCATGGCCAACAAAAAGGCTGCTTTTCTACTGCCATATCATCTCCCTGTCAGCCCAGCTGTTCATAACCAAATTGAAAACTGAGAGTCACTGGGTTTTTTTATCCTGTTTTATTTTATACCCACTTTTTTTCTATCAGTTATAATTTTCCTAATGTTAGTCTTTTAAGTGGAACAAGGAACAAAAATGGATGTCAAGGATATATGTCTCTTTTGCTGTTGTTTTTTTAGAAGTTATAAAATCCAAGATAGATATTTCCAATGCTCTGAGCAATTTCCAGAAGTCATTGAAATATCATGCAACAAGGGAAATTACATTCTGGCAAAACTTCATTTCTTCTTTTATATATCATGTCTATTCCGGATGTCGGTGATTATGACTATCCACAACTTCTCATCCTTTATAGTTCTTGGTAGTGTGATCCCCAAGTGGTTCCTTAAATCTGAGATTCCTTAAATTGAGGGACGTTAAATAGGTAGACATCTTTATAATTTTATACATTTTTATGTTGATATTGTTTACATGTTTCTTATCCTTTAAGCTCTTACTATCCTTTTGCTCCTTGCTCTGCCATCCATTTACCCAAGCTTGTTTGGTAGATTACTCACTTCTTTCCTCTTGCCTTCAATATGTGCTGTGAGAGTCAAATTCTCCAAGCCTTCTTTCCTTATTATGTGTAAGTTATAAATGTCAAATTGGTTTTCATTTTACTTAAAACTTCTTCATTGCTGACATGCTTTAGGTAATAATAAATAATTTTATTTTTGTTTTAGTTAGGTGTGTTTTTAGTAAATTTAGATATTTATTTACAGGAACATTTGTGTACAAAGATTGTTTAAACTATTTACATTATTCGGACCATTGTCTTCATCTTTGTTGACATATTTATTACAACGTTTCAGCCATTGTATGCTCTGGCCTTCTTCAGATGGTTGGAATGTCAGTTTGTAATAAATATAGCGACAAAGATGAGGACAATAGTCCGAATAATGTAAATAGTGTTCATAATACCTCATCTCGGAAATATTGAAAGATTATTTATATCTAAACTAGTTCATTTCTTGGTATAATTAGCTCCTCGCATATTAAAAAAAAAAAGAAAGAACAAACATTGAAGATCTTTTAAATAAATTAATAAAAAGCATAAACATCAAAAATAAATATGACTAGTAAACTGAACTAAACCAGATTAAAATAAAATTACCTATTCCCATACATAAAGTCATAAAAATGTGCCATTTAATCACTAATCAATGTTTTTTCGTCTTTGATAACAATTTTTATAGACAAAAATTGGGTTTACCAATGGGGTCTCCTCTTAGTGGAATTTTGGCTTGTCTGTTTTTTTTAATGTCTGGAAAGTGTTCATTCCAAAAATATTTTACCACAAAATACTTATTTCAGATACATAGATGATTTTCTATTAATATATCCACAAATATATATAAATATATCAGCAAGACCTATAAATGACACTAAGATTTAAATAAAAATTACACTGTATTTTACTAAGATTTCTCATTTACTAAAGATGCATTTACTACCAAAATTACTATAAAAATGCAAAAAGAAAAAGACATCACTGGCCAAAAACTTTAAACAATTTAAAAATTATGCAAATTAAACCTCAATTTAAAGAACTAATTAAAGAGACAGTGTATTTCTTAAATCTGATAGCTCATGAAATTTAATAAATCCTTCATTTTTTAAAGAAAATACTACTTCTGTAGATGGCTGCATTTAATAAATATTGTTTTGTTAAATCCATTTCAGTCAGCACGTAAATGACCAATGTTAGATGAAACTGTATAAAATATCAAATAAAACAATTGTCTTTCCTTTCTCATTTTGTGAGGATTTGGGGAATAGTTGCTGTCAATGTAATCTACCCTATAATTTACTTTGTACTCATAACCAAGGCTTAGAAAATTTCCAAAGCTTCATATGTAATTAATCCTATCAGATAGGTTTGAACAGGGTTTTCAGCACTAGCTTTTAAAACCCAGTCGAGGATTTCAATATCTGTCTAGTTTACTGTTTTTACTTTATTTAATTTTTTTACTAACAAAATTTAATTAAATCTAGGTTATCCAATGTATTTTACAGTTTTCTCAATTTTTAATTTCTTAAGTCTGTAGAGTAGCTATCAGGAATGAAACTTAAAAATAACTGAAATCAACAACATTTTTCATTTCCTATTAACTTTATAGCTAACATGGTTGACATGTACCTAGTAAGTTAACAAGGACTCTATGAATTATTTTTTTTTGCATTTATCTAACATCATTCAGTAAACATAAAATGTCAATTCATTATGGCCCATGGGATCTGGAAGTGCTTCCTTAAATTCTATATTCCTTAAATTGAGGGACTTTAAATCAAAATTTTACTGTGTAACAATTCTTATGGGACAGAGGTAGACATTTTTATAATTTTATAGGTTAATATTTTTATACTGATATTGCTTCTATCATGCGACTAATACTGAAGGAAAGTGTAGTTGTGCTTTGCGATGATTAGAAATACAGTAAAATAATAACAGGCTCTTGTGGAATAAATAGTTTGTGAAGGAAAGAAAATAGTAGTTTCAAATGTTCTACTTTTTGTAATCATCCCCCATCTTTTGCTTCAGCTATGAGCATGACTCTATCTTATATACACAAAAAATAAAACTAAGCATTTCTTTTGAGTTAAGAAAGTAAAAATAAGAAAAAATAATTCCCCAAATACATAATTTCGTATTCAACCGTACATAAAATGTAGCGATAAGCTGTTCTTAGGCTGATTTCAAAAAAGGTAGAACTTCAAAGAGATTTTTCCAAAAAATGAATTATAAATCAACAAATATTAAGAGATAAAAAAATAAGTATAGATTATTAGATCTATTTTAAGAAATAAAAATTCTCATTTACTTCACTAACTTGATGTACCTTCAAAAGTTTTTTCAGAATTTCATTGAGGAAAGTCGGAATGGATGTGATGATTATTAGTATGATAAAATTTTCTAGAAACCTCCTAGTAACTCCACTTGGTTCAATTCTCTACTAGTTTGGATTTATTACTGACTGTTATTACTTCAGACATTATTTTTAGTGGATACCCATGTTTGAAATAGACACATCATTTTGTTTTTCTTTCTAAACAGCATGTATTACTATCTATTGGCCTACTCAAAAAACAATGAATACAGAGTGCATGCTCTCTGGCAGGGTTCAAACCTGTTTTCTAGAATCTGCAGGTTGATAGACTTAATACATAATTTTAAACAAAAAAATGTGGCATCTACTTCAAGCCACTAAAAGTAATGTTTGAAGTAATAAAAATGTCGGATTAAAAATAAATCTGTTTATCTCTTTAGAAATTGCTTTGTTTACATTTTGGATATGAAGCAGGACAAGTTTAGGCTCTCAATAACATCTGAACAATGAGGGAATTCTTTAAAAGAGTAAATTCAGCCTTGCTCTGTTGTGATGCTCTTTGTAACTCTCTGGAAATAAAAGCAAAGGAAAAGTTTTTAGAGGGAACCAGAAACCTAATCCTAAACAGGAAACAAGGAATAACCCTCTACTTCTGTTCAAGAGATTGGGTAACAGGATGAACTAAACAATAAGCAAACCTATCTACTCCTATTGAGAAAAAAAATGTAAATAAATAGTAAATAAAAGTTCAGAGTTTTAAGCAGAACCATTAAAAGTATAGAGTTGAAGTCAACTTTAGAAAGAACTGGAAGCCTAATCCTAAACAGGAAACAAGAGATAAACCTCTACTACTGTTCAAAAGACTGAGGAGGAGTTCGAACTGGACATTAGGCAAACCTATCAACTTCTATTGTCTGCTATGAAAACAGCAGCAATGGTGAAGCTGAGACTCATTATGATTGATATATTTTTATGGCTTATCAAATTTTGCAGATTATTTAAAGCCATTTATATTTTTAGACTGTAAGAATTTTTTCAGATATAATAATGGTTTTACTGATACAAGTTTTACTTGCGGATTCATAACTTTCCTAATGGTATTTGCACATAGGTGAATATAACAAACCTAACCAGAATTGGAACTCAGCTCTCTGATTTCCTATTCTTAGCAATTATCCATTACACCACCATTACATCCAAGCTTACAACACCTGGTATTTCCAAGTGGTCACCCATCAAGTTACTGACCAGGCTCAATTTTGCTTAACTTTGCTGATCATATCAGAACTGATGTTTCAATGTGATATGGCCATAAACTCTGAGGCCCTATACTCCAATTGAAAAGACAATATGCATATAAATAAAGGGTGTTTCATTAAGATGGATTATATATATGGGTGTTTCAATATGACAGATCAAAGTCAGCAGTAAATAAATCAGTGTTATTGGTGAAAATTTATTTATTTCCTTATTGGATCATTTTATTTAAGTCATGGTAATTATGTGCGAAAAATAATATTGCCCAAATGTCTGCCAAATCTGAAAGAAAAAGAAAAAAATCATTAAACACTTAAACTTAATTCACATTTAAAATCAGTCCAAGTTATTGGAATACCCTTTATAATAAAGTTTAATTCATAAATTAGGCACAAGAAAAGATTAAAAACAATAACTAATAATAAAATAGAACAATTATAACAATAGACTGTAATAAAAGTTATGTGACGGATAAAAGATTCGTTCTTACCGTAGATCTTATTAGGCACAATAAGAGATTAACAACAATGACTAATAATAAAATAGAACAATTATAACAATATAGACTGTAATAAAAGTTTTGCGACAGAAGATTTGTTCTTATGAAAAATCTTAACAACTTCAGTGTACACTTTTTTTTTCTTCATTCAGAACAGTCACCTTTTCACTTAAAAAATGTTTAATGACTTCTCTTTGATATATTCAAATTGTCAGCATTGTTACTTTTGTGATTTGGAATCATTAATAAATAAAATGTATGAATTGTTTATTTCTGGAGTTGAATGGGGATAATTAAGATGGTGGAAAGCAAAACCACAAATAGATGTAGGAAAACTGTAATTCATCAGACTCTGATAGCTTATCTCTGAGGTTGAGATATTTAACAGCTTCTTTCAACAATTTAACTTCTGGGGTTGGCTACAAATAAATAAATGACAGTTCAGAAAGCAAAATCATACTTATTATAAAACCTAGGTTGTGTGTATGTGTGTGCGTGTGTGTCTGTACATTTATATATTGGATCGGATTTCCTACATTTTTCAACCGATTTCAACAAAACTTCACAGGACTACGTAAAATTACCGTGCAGTAGTTCTGACAGTGCCAAAAATTGGAAAAAACACAATTGTTTTTGCATGAAATCAATTTGAAAACACAATTAAGAGGTATCGCGAGAATGAAAGGGGGACAACTCATATCGAGTTATACTTATTATAAAATCCAGGTTGTGTGTGTGTGTTCATTTATATATGGGCTCGGATTTCCTACATTTTCCAAATGAAATTTCAAATAAAACTTCACTTTTTTTTGGCAGGTAATGTTTCTTATAGTCTTGCACACTTTTTCTTTTTATTTTTACATTCAGAATGCTTTAAAAATTCCATTTACAAGACAATTGTTTATAATAAAATTCTATTCAATCGGTGACTATATAATGATTGAAAACAATGTTTTTGTTTGAGTTTGGGTTTGACCAATTCGTAAAAAAAAAAAAGCTAATTAAGACATGCGTGTCCATCAAGCTTAAACAATAATCTTTGTCAATTTTATTTTTCAGTCTTTATGATGGTAGATACTTGATCTATCACTTACTGTTACATCCCTGGGCAACGCCGGGCTCTACTGCTAGTCACTGATAAAATGGAGTGGGGCCATTGTAAAACAATCAGTTTCTGCATTGATACCCGTTTCAACTTTTATGAGATTTCTTCTGGATTAGAGATTTTCTTTTTCTTTTAATCATTTCACCCTTTCTTTCTTTTTATGTGCCGTGTTCTTTCAGAACATAGACGATCATGGCTCTCCACTTCTCCGTTTTCCTTGTAGCTCTCAATAAGTTTCTTGTTTCTGCCAACTCCTCCAGACCACATTCTGCCATCCACATGCTTAAGCCCACCAGATATGTCATGCATTGCTTTCCCTTGTCTCTTTCTCCCTCTATTCAACCTGTGAGCACCAGATTCTCCGGGCCCTTCTTTCTCATTACATGTCCCAGAAATTTCATCTTCCTCTTCCTTATGTTAAGTATAGCTTCCTCCTTGTTTGCATAATCACCAAGATCTCATCATTGTTCACGTGCTCACTCCATTTCACCCAAGCAAGTCAATAAAGTCACTAAGATGCAAGGGGTTAGAAAATATGAGACAAAAAACAGTTAAGGAAGGACAACAATTGAAAATCAGGAATCAAGGAGACAGAATATAACAACTGACAATGCATTTAAACTTTTGAAGATCAAAGTTGACTTGGAAGCAAGAAACCAGAAGAGAGTTCTACCAGCAAGAAAAGAAACTGTTAGCATAGAACTTACCGTTACATCTAGTTACCATTTCAACTATAATATGATGAGATCTTACCACCAATTTAGTACTAGGCTTAAATTCATGAAATTTCTCAAATCATCACATGGAGCCTCTTATTTACTCTATATATACTTAGACTATTGTCCTTGTCCTGTGGGACAATAGCCTAGTAGATTAAAGTATCAGTTTATAAATTTGTTGAGCTAGACATAAACTCCATGGAAACAGGATGAGTAAGTGGGAAATAACTGTGCTATCCCAAGACATAGACAGCTTAATAAGAACAATATACTAAATATTCTTATTTATCTCCCTTGGAAAGTGCTTTAAGAATAATAGGGCTTAAAATTATGATTCAACTTTTAATCCAAAATTTAAATAATGACAGAGTAAATCAAACAACATATTAAGCTAAATGTTTCCTATATATTTTGAATACATGATATGTAATATAGATGTGAATTTTTCTTTTTCTCCTCTGTGCTGTGTACATTACGGATGCTGGTGATCATGACTCTCCACAGTTTCCTGTCGTTTGTAGCTCTTAATAAATTTTGTCTTTTTATCTCTCATAAATCCTGTTCTGCCATTCATTTACTCAAGCTCGCTAGCTAGGATATATATTGTTTCCTGTCCCTTCTACTCTGAATCTGTCCTGTAAGTATCAAATTTTCCAAGTTTTCTTTTCTCATTAGGGAACATTCAATTATCTCTTCTTGATATTAAGTATAAGTTTCCTTTTCATTTCCAATTTCTCTAAAACATTGTTGTTGGTCACATGTCCGGTTCCTGGTATCTTCAGCATCCTTCTGTAGTAGAACCAATCTTCTGTTGCTTCAAGTATCTTCATCTGTGTAGAGAATGTTCAGGATTCACTTCCAATTTGGAGGACTGATATTATGTAACAGTTTTTCAAAAACCTTTGCAGATATATTTTGCTATTTGGTATGCTTATATCAATCAAGGTGCAAACTTTTGCTTAATAATAATAGCAGTAGCAGTAGTAATAGTAAAATCATTGTCTTTAGATGTAAATGTCTTTGGTGCACTGTAATATGTTATTATTTTTGTTGGTGTTGTAGTAGCAGTAATAATAAAAATAATCTTTTTTTTTAATGTGTACATGAAATTAGCTTTGGAGTAAATTTCTTTTGATATCTTCAATAATTAAACAGATAAAGGAGGACATCTATTTAGAGTTAATGTATTTACTCATAATAGATAATGAGATTATGATTTAAATGTTTTCTGCCATTTGAACAAAATATCTCCAAATAAAAGATTAAGGATCTGCTTTTATATCGGAACACATATATTGAAAAAATTATTTGAGGAATATTCAGAAATCCTTTTATATATACATCTAACTTTCAAAGAAACTGTTGTCAGAGGTAGAAAGATTTTTATTATGGCTGCAGATAAAATAAATTTAATGAAATAATTAATTTCTTTTCCAAAATGCAATTAATGAAATACTTATTTTTTTTTTCAAAATTATTTTAATGAAATATTTATTTTCTTTTTCAAAATATATTTAATAAAATAATTATTTTCTTTTTCAAAATATATTTAAAGAAATAATTTTTACAGAATATAATTAATGAAATAATTTAAGAATATAATTAATGAAATGTTTTTAAAATATATTTAATAAAATAATTAATTTCTTTTACGAAATATATTTAATGAAATCATTATTTACTTTTACAAAATATATTTGATTAAATGATTATTTTCTTTTACAAAATATATTTAATGAAATCAGTATTTGCTTTTACAAAATATATTTAATTAAATAATTATGTTTCGTTTTAAAATATATTTAATGAAATAATTATTTTCTTTTTCGAAATATATTTAATGAAATCATTATATTCTTTTTCAGCAAATGAAAAAGTGAAAGATATTAAGTTAAAACCAAAATCATCAGCACAAATGGTAAGTACTTAGAATTTTCCACTTTGTTCTTGTAATTATAATTCTTATTTAAATAAACATATTTTTCAACTGGTCACACTCACATACGCACTCTTAAAAGGCTAGTAAGTATACATGAGATTATATTCAAAACTTCCTGAACAAGCATAAAACAAAGTACATTATTAATATTTACACTATTTATGTTGTTCAGGCTGTTGTTCTCATCTTTATTGCCATATTTACAATGTTTCAACCCTTGTACGCTTTGGCTTTATCACCATTTGAAAGAATTTTGAAGTGAAACCTATATTTAGTCTACAAGGGTTGATTGTTCTTATTCCACATGTCATGACTTTAGATATCTCAATTTTAGTTAATTCCCCTTGATAACTCTACAATTTTTTTATTCTCTCTGCTGTGGTCAGGGACTGAACTCACAAGTGTTTGGGATAAGTCACTTTAGGATCAGTCAACCAATACTTTAATCTACTGGGCCATGTTTCCTTGAGATATTCAAAGGCGTGGCATGTGGAATTAGAATAATCTACCCCCATGGACTAAATAAAGCGTTTGGTTTGAAATTTCAACAAGTATCACCTGAAGAAGGCTGGAGTGTACAACAGCTGAAACATTGTGAATATGGTAATAAAATGACAACAACTGTCTAAACAATGTAGATAGTGCAAATTGTTGTTCATCTCAGAAATATAAACAGATAATCTAGTGAATAATATATTTTATATTTTTCAAATTTGCTCACTACCCGCTTCAAAATAGTTGCCTTGGAAATGGACAGTTATCCCAGCATCTGTTCCAAACTTCAAAAACAATTCT